ACTGTCAGTTAATCTGTGAAATTGATATTAACATTTATAATCTGTTAAATTCCAGGAGGGCATTTGGCTGTGGAGCGATGGGAGTCCCTTCCACTACTCTCACTGGTGCAGTGGAGAGCCAAATAATGACACATACCAGCACTGCATACAGATGAACTATGGAGGTGATTAAAATAAATTTCCACATGAGGTTTAAACTGCCAGGCAGCTGGCAGATTGTTAAAATCACTCATTTATTTGTAGTTAAAACATTAAAAGACTTACATTAGCTGTGCAGCTTCACAGCTTTGCTTTAAATGATGTTTCAGTGATGTTTGTTGTTTCTTGCAGGATCCAAGTGCTGGGATGACGTGTGGTGCAACCGTTATCTTCCATCAGTCTGTGCCAAAAACATCTGAGATCTCTCCGACAGAAATCCAACAAACAGGACTGGATGTCTTGTTATGTGTGTCTGCTTTTACATTTTAATGATCAAACTTGATTAAAAATTTAAAAATGATTTTCCAAAGTTTTGTAAGATTTTCCCTGTGTGATAAATAAAATAATCAAGATATAGAAATTAAACATTTGAATTCATTAAACTAGTTTGTGAACCAAAGCCTGAGCTTCCCTGTGTTTACTCTGCATGTAGAGAAATCAACTTTCTCTCTTCTTTGGAGTATGTGTACGTCTTAATCCAAAAATGATTTACTGGGGAACTTGATCACCAAATGGTTCACAGGTGACCAATCGATCAGCTGAAGGTCAGTTGAGGGACATCAGAGAGCGGAGATGCCAACTGTAGGAGTAAAACTAGAAAACAAAAAGAATGCAAAGCTCAGAAATACCCTAATGAAATATAACTGAACTTATAATAATAAAGATGATGACAAACAATTAAACTGAATAGTCTAATTGTTTTTAGACTATGCAGACCTGCTAAAAGCAGATTTATATTAGTAAGTCTTTGTGGAATAAAGTTTTTCATAACTAATTCTTAAACCTAAACAACACTTTTTATATGAATAAGTTTTTTAACCATGGACAGCTCCATCAAAAAGTAGTCTTTATGTCTTATCAGAAGACTCAACAGTGACACCCAGTGGTTGTGATTGTCAAATGTTTCTGCTATCAGTGAAAGCTGAATGGATCAGCCTGATCATTTAATAATTAGCAGTGTTTTAGTCCATCCATCCATTTTCTTACACCTTTGTCCCTTAGTGGGGTCGGGAGGTGCTGGTGCTTCTCCAGTGAACGTTTCAGGGAAGACAGGTCGCCTGGACAGGTCGTCAGTCTGTCGCAGACAGACAGGAGAAACAACCATGCACTCACACCTCGGGAGACTTTAGAGAGACCAATTTACCCAACAGTCATTTATTTGGACTGTGGGAGGAAATCAGAGTACCCAGAGAGAACCCACCATGCAGAGGGAGAACATGGAGACTCCATGCAGAGAGACCGGGGCCGGGAATCGAACCCAGAACCTTCTTGCTGCAAGGCAACAGCTCTACCAACTGCTCCACAGTGCATGAAATAAAAATAAAAATGGCTTTGAAGCCTCTTTAGCATAACTCTCATAGTAATGCCTTTTGTCTACTGGCTGCTGACCCACTGAATCCCTGAAAAGGACAGAGCATAAGATATGTAGAAATGTTGTCATGGAGGGCAAATTAAATATTTGAATATAAATAATATGGGGCATATTTGGATTCTACATTCTAGACTAAAGTGCACAATGCATAACAACTTTATTTATCCATAGACTAACACTTAAAGGAGTCACAGAGCACAGGTAAAGTAAATACAACATAAAATAAGTAAACAGCAAGGAATATACATCAACAAGGGTTAGGATTTGATAAGCTTTGGCTTCTTCCCCTTTAGAGATGAATATTAAAGTTTTGTTTTTGTGTTTGATGATTATTTCTCTTCTTATCGTCAGAGAAGTTCTGGTCAGTCATTATGAATGGCTGAATATTTTTTTAATATTAATGTGTGTTCAGAGTTAATGAGAGCAGACTGAATGTGTTCCAAGAAAGCAAACCTCTCTTTTATTCTTTGACCTTTGCAGAAATAAAACTGAAGAATCAAAGCAAGATGGTGTGTGGTTTATTCTCCATGTTTGTTTTCCTATTTTCTGAAGTTTCATTTGTTGCACTTTGTATGGAGGCATAGAGCGACCACCAAGGCAGAATGAAAACAGAACTATGTTAGTTTGTAAAGTGAAAACATTATTGATCTGATATACTTTTACATAAGAACAATACTATTATAAATATTATCGCACTGTAACAGAAAAAAGCTCACATTCTAATATGCAAAATGTCTGTATGACGGGAATTATCTTATTGTACAAATGTCAAAAAGATCCTGTTAGAAAAAACCTTAAACTAAAAGTATGTAGAGCAGTGTATGAAACATTTCATGTCCAGACATAATTGTGAAATGTTCGATCACTGCATCTCAACCAATCAATTGTTTATGAAGCAACCTTCATATTAAGAGCTGCTCAGCATCCTCACAATAGGAGCAGTTGAGTTTTGTATTGTATAATAACGTGTCATATTCACTGTGTCATCTTAAATGACACAGTGAATATGATATTTACTGATACTGATATTTATTTAATACTTTGTACAAAAGTGTATGTTGGTAATAACAGCTTCAGATGCTCCTGCTGGAGAAACTAGTCGCATGCATTACTCATGTGTGAATTTGGCCCATTCTTTCACACAGTGATTAAATCTTTAAAGTTTTATGGACCTCTTCTTTAAACTGATTTTTAAGGCGCTTTCGCACTGCACGGAACAGAACGGAACGGAATGGGTGTGTTCGCATTACAACTTGCGTTCCACCCGGCCCCAAGTGTTCTGCTTTGAACCAGCAGCTGATTGGCTGCTGGTTGTTATGGAGTCAGACACTGATTTTCGTCTCAATATCAGCCAATCAGCTGCTGGAACGCTTGGGGCCGGGTGGAACGCAAGTTGTAATGCGAACGATGCGTTCCATCCTGTTCCGTGCAGTGCGAAAGCGCCTTTACTTCTCTCCATAGATTTTCAACTGAATTCAAGACAGGTGATTGGCTGGGCCATTAAGCAGCTTGATCTACTTTCTCTGAAGCCAGTTGAGCGTTTCCTTGGATCTGTGTTTGGGACAGGGACAGCCATTTACTGTGTATGCGGCGGCCCTACGCTGCCATAATTTAACAAAGAAAAAGTATATTAAATATAATTTATATCGACCGCGACAGCCTATTGGTTTATTTAATTGGCGGACATTGGGGTTATCCAATGAAATCCCTCAGTCCTCTTTGGCCCGCCCCTTCTCTCCACTCCAAATTTATAAATGGCGCCTTTTCAGCTAACCAGAGTCCGAGAAAAGTGAGCGGATACGAGACGGGGCAGGTCAGAAAAACTTTGATAGCAAAAGCTAAAAAGCGCGCAAGTCCATTGAGAACAATGTGTCAAACTAACCGATGTGTTTTCCACACAAACTTTACAGTTTTATGAATCATGAAATATTGTAGCGACCCCTTCCACCCTTTTATGATTTTTGTTCTCACTTATAAAAACATAAGGTACTGATTTCATTAGTACAGGTGGTTCATTATTTTAATTCAACCATGTTCCTGTTAGAAGTGATGAAGTCATGAAATAAAAGTCAGTTTAAGTGACTAAGAGGTAAATAATTATGCTTAATAATATAATAATAATTAATAATTCTGCTTTGAGGTTTTATTCTAGACTACTGTAATTAACTTTTCTGACTTTATTGATTTGATGTTAGTAATTCAGAGATTCTCTTGTATCGCACCAGCAGGGAACCAGATGCATTCTGCAGGAAGACCTGCTTATCCGTTACAATGCAAAGAGTAAGAAAAAGACAATCACTACACTTTGTGATTGTGGTGTGTGAAAATCACACCTTACAAATGTTTGAAGAAAACACTACATGGTGCAACTCTGCCACCTGCTGACATCAAATCATAACTGCAGCTGAAAGAGTGAAAACATTTCAAGATTTTAATTCTGATCATTTTAATGATTGACTAAGAAAATAAACCCCAAAAATTCAGTGTCAAAAAATAAGAATGTTGTGAAAAAGTTAACTATTAATGTCACTTCTACACGTCTCAGCTAATTAACTTTGAACCCTCAACAAGATTTTTTGCTAAATATTTTCATGAGACGTTCAGGATCTAACACTTCGTTCTCTTAAGACTACAAGGCTCTTTACTGCTGGCCATGTTGCGTTCATGTGCCTGGGACTAAATGTAGATGCTCACAATCAGAGCTATGCTCTCTCCCTCTTGATAAAAGTAAATGTGTGACTGCTAAATACCCTCCATGGGTTTTGGAAGAAATGTGAAGCCATAGTACGCATTTTACTTTAGAGGTAAAACAATAAAACAGAGCTGCCCAAAGTGGGTCCTGGAGGACCCGCTTCCTGCATGTCTTAGTTCTCTCCCTGGTGGTAGTAACAACCTTTTCAGCATGTCAATGTTCTTCTTAGGCCTCTAATGACCCATCATTGGATCCAGGTGTGCTAAACCAGGGAGAGAACTAAAACATGCAGCATGCCGGCCCTCCAGGACCCACTTCGGGGGCCACTGACAGAAATTAAACACACTGACCACTGGCAGGTTCAGAACTGATCGGCCTTTTGGAAAATCTCCCAAATCTTTTGTCTGATCTGCTCCTGATGCAGAGTCTCATATCTGAGCTGCTGAAGCTTGGAGCTCCTTCAGCCTGGTCATGTTGTCCTGGTTTCCTCTCTCACTAGTCTCTTTCTTCCACAGTCACTGAGGACGACCTGAGACGAGACAAACTGCTGTTTATTGTGTTCAATAAGAACAGTTTATCCGTTTTTGCCTTTTAAATGTAAATGTAAAGATAACTGGATGAATTGCACTCTGAACTTTCACAAAGTGTAATTTAAAACAAAGACCACCACCCAGCCACGAAAAACCGATTGCATAGACTTAGTCACAACTTTAAGTTCCCGTTGAACTAGATGTGAACTATCAGGTCATTTCTACCCATATAATTTCCTCATTTTGTGGATGTAACAAGACTAAAAGCTCTATAAATATCCAGTGATTCTGCAGTAAGGACTGAAGGTGCTGGCTGAGAAGACGGATCATTCTGCATCAGGTTTGCTGATCAAATTTCTTATCGTCTTAGTGCCAATGTCAGTTTCATTAACATGTATGCTTTATTTTGACTTTTGTTCAGCTTGCAAATTTGCATCTTTTCATCATCTCCACCATGAAGTTGTTGGCTGTGTTCCTCCTGGTTTCCTCTGCGGTCGCTCAGGCCAGTGAGTATTAAATAAATTAAAGTACACACTGTGTTATGTCTTGTCAATGTGGGCATTATGTTTTAGAATAAATTTATTGTTGCATCATTTTGATGTTATAATTTGTCACAAAATAAAGTTATTCTCAAACTCATGCTACGTAAACCATTTAGCTGGAAGCCTGTGTTTGTTTTTCATCAGCACATTTTGACTCGATCCAGACATCCATCACCTGTCCTTCTGGCTGGACTCTGATCTACAGTCGCTGCTTTCTCTATGTTCCCAATTACATGACTTGGGCGGATGCAGAGGTGATTTCCAACAACACTTTGCTCTTATTTCCTGCTGCTCTGCTTTATTTCACAGTGAGAAATAAAACAAACTTCATTTAGTTGTGTGTTTATCTGTAGAAAAACTGTCTGTCCATGGGGGCAAACCTTGCATCAGTTCACAACCCGTACGAGTACCATCAGGTTCAGAATCTGATAGCTGCAGCAGGTCACGGGTCCAAAAAAGCATGGATTGGAGGCTCTGATGAGGAGCAGGTATTTCTACCAGGATACTTTAGTTGTGAAATATTTTATAAGACATTGAATGAAACATATCATCTGCTGAACTTTGTCTTGCAGGAGAAGACTTGGTTGTGGAGCGATGGAAGCCCGATGATCTACACAAACTGGTGTCGATGGCAGCCTGATAATCGTTTTTCCAGCCAGCACTGTCTACAGATAAACTATTCAGGTAAAGAAAATGTCACGTCTGCTTTTCTGTTGGTATAAGAACTGATGAGTAAAAAGTTTATTTACTTTGCATATAAACTTTTTAGTTGACCTCCACATACAGTTGAAAGCAGAAGTTTACATTTGATAAAATTCATTCAGGTCAAAAGATAGTTATCCATGATAATGACCAAATGTATGTAAACTTCTGAATTTGGAGAAAATTACAAAAGAAATCTCCAAAATAAATTCTTGCCAAGTTTTATGGCATTTAGCAAATAGAAACACTTTTGACAATTCAAACTACCATAAAAGAAAGACATTTGGTCTGATTTAACTTCAGACATTGTTTTGTATTCTGTGTAATTAAATGTCTGGTTAAAACTATATTTACTACATAAACAGCAAAAGCTTATGATAATTTATTGTTGCAAATTAGTTTAGTTAATAATCCTTTTCAGTCATCTTGTCAGGGTTTTCATTATGTGATGTTTGACTGATTTGTTGTGTTGCTCCTAGTTGGAAAGTGCTGGGATGACTCCTGGTGTGATTTCTGTCGGCCTTCTGTCTGCGCCAAAGAGATCTGAAAAAAAGGTTCCCAAAGAGGCCTGATGTGTAAAACAGAACCAGTGGAGGATGAATGCTAGGAGTTTCTGTTTACCTGCCGTTTTGCAACTTTATAAAGATATTTATGCTTATTCACTTCATATCATTTCTGTCTTTAATGCAACCTAAGGAATGAAGCGACAAGCAAACAGCTGCTGGATTGTCTCTCTGTAATAAGATCAGACTGAATGAGTTATAATAAAAGATCATCTAAGCAAAACTTTATTCTATTCTTTGGCTTAGCAAGAATAAAACTCTGAGCAATCAAAACATGATGGTGTGTGGTTTATTCTGACTGTGTTCTGTTTTCTTAATTATTTTTAACACTGTGTTAGTTATTACAATATAAATGTCACATTATTACAAGTTTTAGTCAAACTTGAGGTTCTTTCATCAAAAAAGCAGAGAAAAGTTACTTTCTATCACCTGGTGATGTATTTTTGTCTTTACTTTGTCCTGGGACTGCTCTCATTAAAAAGCATGTGTGGAAGAAAGTTTGAAGTCATTTCCTCTGGATTTAATAATTAGTAAAACACTTTCCTATACATAGTTAATGTGTAACAACATTTAAAGTGGAGCTGTTACATGTTGTTTCTTCTAAAATACATCTGAGTTTGTTTGACATGTTGAGTCATTGCATGGAATGCGTTGATTTAATTTTACACTGATTAATTAAGATGATATTTCCAGCTTTCGTTAACTGATCTGCTTTGGCTCCAACATTCAGGCTCACATTCAACACTTCTGTTTACTTTAGTTATCTCTCTGTCCCATTTGCTTGTAATAATAGTTTGTTCTGTGGCATCTGATGTCAGGCAGGGTTGCAGATGCAGGTGTTGACATGTTCAGATGTGTGGTTTTGAAATGCAACAAAGGATAAAAGAGATTTATCTGATACCTTTAAGAGGCAATTAAATTAAACCATTACTAATGTGTAAAAAATAAAATACCAAA